GGAAGGGAAGGGAAGGGAAGGGAAGGGAAGGGAAGGGAAGGGAAGATATAATTTCTACCCATGCTGTGCCAAACTGTGAATATGAAGTTGCCCTTTTCTTGCCTTATTGTTAAGTGGGAGCATTAAGCACTAAATTACTTGGTTTCTGCTTTTTAGGCTTTTCAAATCTTTTCATAGTTTACAAATCCTTCTCCCTTCACCAAGAAATATCATCTCAGTCCACACAGAAAACTCCCTAACTTCCACCACCACCTCATCCCACGTGCTGCAGCTCAGGAACTCCTGATCCCTCCTTTTAGAATTCATACCACATCCTGCTGCAAGATCACTTCCACATTCTGCCATCTTTTCTTCACATTTAGAATCAGAGAACCATGGAACTGTTTGAGTTGGAAGGGACCTAAATGATCATCTCATTCCAAACCTTGCCATGGGCTGAATCACTTTCCACTAGCTCAGGTTGTCCCAAGGTCCATCCAAAGTGGCCTTGCAGGTGGAATATGGCAATCATATTCTAAATCACTCCATATTACCTTAGTCACCATTTACCTCCATAACTCACCTGCCTCTTCCAAATACCTTAACCAAACTCCCATCTTTTCACTTTTTTTTTCCTTTAGCTGTTACCCACCTGATTGGAGGACGAGGAATTGTGATTCCTGTCACTTAACCACCCTTAAAGGGACAGACTTTCTAATGGAAATTGAATAGGAAAGGTTGGATTCCGTGGGGAAATTTCAAATTGACAAATTTTCTGAATGGATCTCTCCTAACCTTGTTGCATATAATATATGCATGTATTGAGCTTAATTTTTGGTTAGTATCAAAATGTATTGATCTGCAAGATAAATATTGACTTGACCTCGCTTTCTCTCAGTCTATATTTACTTCTGGAGTCAATAAGTCTAGAAACTGATCTGACAGGAGTCAATAATGGCTTAAAATTCTCAAAATAGCAGCTTTGCTCTAAGGTTGCAATTTTTTATTTTAAAGTTACTGCCTCAAATACATAAAATGCTCAGGAGGGACTTAACTCTTTACTGCACAAAGCCATTGGGGAAACACTCAAATGCCAGAAGACCTTGATGTGACTTCAGGCCAGCTGTGCCATTTCAGCACTGGCCAAGCCATACTGTAAATATTTTAATAATGACCTACTGCAGTCCCTCTTTTTGCCCTGTGTATCCTCAAAAATTGGAGCTTTGCTCCAGAGGGTGTGCCTGAGTATCACTGATTGGATTTGTCAGGGCAAAATTGTCTTCAGCCTTGGGAAAATGCAAAGCTTGCTACTGGGTAGAGGTTGTCATCATGAGAATGCCCTCCCTGCCTTCATTTCTCTGCTTAGGGAGGCAGTAATTAACCCCGCAAGATTTTTAGTGTCAAATGAGATCATGTTCTTTCCCTTTCCCCCTCAGTGGTGGACAAATCTCCAGTAAAGTCCTCATCCCTATTTTTCTTATCAAATCTTCATGATTTGATAGCTCAGTTTCTGATTTTTAGGGTTCCTTATGAAGCACTTTCATTAGGAAGCAGTTTAATAATTCACTTATTTGAGCAGTGTTTCTCTAACACCTGAGAAAATGCTGTAATTTGATTTAAGGAAACCATTGTCACTGCCAAATATTTCCATGTCCCCTAGAGATTGGTCGCTCTTCTGAGAAGTGCAGAAAATGATTAAAATTCAGAGAAAACAATAAAATTAAGAGAAAACAGATGAGAAAAAACCACTGTAGATTGACCTAATATCCCTATTTAGGATGAAATTTAAAAATATTCTTTTTCAGTCACTGTTAAAGGAACCAAGGAATGTGGCAGATAGTTTTAAGTGTTGCTGGAAAAGAAGAGAAAAGAGATTTGTCTATATTTTTTCCCCAGGAAAGAGTCCAGAATTTGGAATTGGAAATTTTCTTTTTAGATTTTTGTTCTTTTGAGGTTTTTTTCTTTTTTTTCTTTTTTTTCTTTTTTTAATTTTTTATATAGGCAGCCTGTAGAGAAGATGTTGCACAAGACCCTGGGCCTGCATTAAAATTGTCTTCTGCTGATACTCATTTATCTGCATGTTTTAAGAGTGGGTGAAGCATGAAGCGGAGCATGTAATAGACTTAAGAACACATAGGTACAATTAAATGGGGAGGAAAACAATTACTCGTCATTCTTGCTGTGCTAATATTACAGAGAAAAACTACCAACATCTGGAAGGCAGTTTTCCAAAATGAACAGAGGGTAAGGAAGATGAAAAACTCCCTTTCTTAAATTCCATGGGTGCAAAATCCCACATGAGCAAAGCAAAAAAAATCCTAAAATCAGAGCAAAACAGAATCCTTAAAAAGCCAGGAATCATTCCATGGATAGCATGACATATTTTTTCCAGGGAACTCGTAGGAAAGTTCCCCTCAATCATCCACCCCAAAGCTGTTCCACAGTGCTGTTTGCTTTGATTAAACACA